ACCTTAATGGAAACGAATAAAACGTGGGCATGTGGTTTATTATATATTTATTGGTGGAAATAAAAGTTGTCCATTTATTGTGGCAATTCAAATCCGTTTTAAAACACTTACTTTTTTTAGTTAATTTATTCAACACGTTGTTATCTCCAGTACTTTGTTATTACTAAAGATTTATTCATTAAATAATGCTCTTCCTGTATAAGTTACATATCAATAGATAAACATAAGAGAGACATACATTCCATTTCTAACGCAACAATCAAATGAACGATTGTTGAATTATATCGCCTAATCGATTTTGTCCACGTAGCTGGAATTCGAATAATACATATACACTAAGCTCTTTTGTTATTGCTTTATTGTTGTACAGTTTTAAAAACCAAGGTCATAAACAAAATAAAAATAGCATGTTTATTTGAATAGAATAACACAGGAATAGAATACGGTATGAATACATTGATATTACGAAACGCGGCTTGTCCTTAGAGACAACACTCTAACTTTGATAGAAACAGCTGTAAGTTCAGATAGGACCAAGTCGGGGAGAAAAGTATATGAGCGTTCCATAAAATCTGATATACATTTAATTTATTAATTGTTAGGTATTTTGTTCTCGAACTTGAAAAATATATTCAATACATTTTCAGACGTTTTCAAAAAAATTACAGCTATCTACTGTTGAAAATTCATGCTGGGCAATATAATGAATTAATGATAGCTAAACATTTTCCCTAAAAGTAGTTTAAGTCCAAAAATTACTGAGAATAAAAAATTGTATATTAATAATCTTTCAGGAGCAATCATAGAAAGGTTTTATATTATTATATTAAGTAGTTCAACACTGCCTATAGGCTTCACACTTCTCCATATCCAAATCCCTCCATTCATCTTCATATCCTAATATGTAATTTCCACTCAATTCACTTCCGATGTAAAACTGACGAAAGGGAAAAGTGTTGTTCTCCACTCGGGAAAGCTGACCAGAATCATCAGAATGTTGATGAAAAACGTGGTTTCCATCAAACTTTTTGCAATTAGCGTCCCCGCAACGGCAACTAAAGCATAAGCAGCGGCATCACTTACACAACATACCAGAGTGGTTATAAAGGCTCTCTGTAGCACAGGTGTCAAATTATCAGCTGCTCTACCAATGTTGTTTTGATGCTGACGTAGCGGATGGAGGAAAAGTCCCAGAATCATAATTTGCATTATAATGGACGACAAACCAATTATAAACATTGGTATCTGTATTGGGATACTCAACTTGACTACAGAGCATCCTGTTTGAGTCACCCTGGCTGAACAGGTGAGAACGACGATCAATCTACTTAAAGGGGGAACAGCCCAGCTAAAATTAATACAATTATACTTAAAATGCGAGTAGCATAATTAATTGAGTGTTGCATGGCAGGAATGCTATGGATTATTCGATGTCTAATCCAAACCGTCAAATAGGTGAAAGTGACAGCACCCGCTTCGAGCATGATTTTCGACTTTTTCTGTAAATTGCAAAATTCCGGGTAGTGCAGATCGACTAAAATTTGTCCAAGCCAACCAGACAGATAGTAAATTTTGCAAATAGCGACGAATATGAAACGGGATATTTTGATCCATTTTCTCATTTGTTTCCCAACACTTTCGGTAGCGCCGCTCGGTTCAACTCCGTCTTTGCACATATCAATTATTAGCATTACCATAATGTAACTCGTAGCCACAAAATACCCCACTGAAAGGCAAACTGTTGAAACCCAAATTGAAAAGCTGTCTCCTTTTACCACCAAACCTTCATATTCTATTCCGGAGGTATTTGTTGAAAAATTCATTTTCAGGTCTTTGAAATACAACCGCTGTTATGTCTCTACCTTCCGTTGAGCGAATACAAAATAATATCCTTCGACGAAAGATCCATATTATGTACATCGAAATTATTTCGCTTTGAGAATCAATTGATGCATTTTGATCATGGGTTTCGTATTGTTTGTAAAGTTTGTCTTTGTTGTTTTCTTTGTGAAGTTATCATTAAAATACGGTATATTAATGATATCGTTTACACGGAAATAACAAGATCGTTTTGGCCGAGTTGAGAGTAACAAGGGAATATAATATGATTTAATATAAAATTAACTGCAATCAATATATTGGGATCGCTTCGGTCTCACTGATATGCAATTTTCAAATGAAATGTAATCTCAAAATAATGAATCATTACATACCTATAGCTATAATTTTAAGTAGTTCTTATGTCGGCTCAGATCAATGATCTGCTGCGTGTACAGAATTTAATTTTGAGAGGTCATATTTAAATTTGACGTACATCGCATTTTCATACCACATTATTTATTCGAATGACGAATTCGCAGCGATCAAATATCGTCACAGTCATCATTGAAAATACGTTATAGTATGAATACATTGGACCGGTTTGTGATATTAATACAAATGAAAATGCTAGAATGTTTTTAAAAGACAATTTAATCGGAAATTTGTTTTATCGAATTTTTTTCATTCTAAATACCTCATCTTTGTCACATGCAATCGTCATCTTTTTTCGCGACTGATATCACCGTTCGACTTCTCCAAGGTGTTACTCGATAACAGGCACTGGTTTATTGCTTCGTCACCCTGAAACCCCATCCTTCGTTTTAACATTCAAAGTGTACTGTGTTCATTTTCGGTTTACAAGAGTATAAACTACTGATTACTGACTAAATCATCTTTAATTTGACTCAATAATTTACGATCTTGTCGACGATCATTTCCAGATTTTTCATCACGAAACTTTGTTATTTCACCAAACAAACAAAAACAAATTAACGGAAGTCCTGGATTTCCTTTTATCTTAGTTAGGCAATGACTTTGACCGATATATTTCACTGATACCGTGTTTCCTCGTAAATAAGAGTGTTATTCCATTTTTTTTTAGAAAAATAACACTAGGGATTATTTTTTGGGAATGTCTTTTATTTTCATTTATCAAAAACAAAATTACAACGTAGAGAGTTACGAGATTTTCAAATATACAAAATATGAAAACCCGATATTCATTTATCTATGAATCACACGTTTTTATTCAAGAAAAAACTGATAAACATAGATTGTTCAAAATTGAGCATATCATTATCCTCTGGAATGTCTTGAGCGTAACTAGATTCATAAATTTCAATGAAGATTTTATTTAACCGAGTTTTCTGACGAAAGAAAACGTGTAGGGGAAATTCTTTGCCATCGATTAGGTCAAATAAAATTTCGCGTTATCGACTAGGTCGTATTTTAAGGGGAGGGCATATATTAAAATCATTTTTAAAATTCAGGCTAGGTATTATTTTCAGGAAAAAACGGTAAGTCCGGAAGATTTCATTGATCTGAAATTTATATGTTCAATCAATGCCATTTCTATTGAATACTAAAATTCTTTTATTGCATTATCAGGCTATCGAACCCTTTATGTGGATTTGTCGCACACGCAATCTGTTGTGGCTTTTACATACTTTGCGAGCATAATTATTCATAAAAAAGGCACTGCTACACATATAAACACAAGCGGTGGCAAGTGGCATGAGCGCACAAGTGGCATGTACGACACATTATTATCAGGAGGGCTGCATTTTTATAATGAATCGTATTGATATAGTATTTTAAATAATATGCGTTTCAAATTCGAAGTAAAATGATAAGTTAGAAGAGTTAGAAGGAAGAGTTTTTAAAATCCGGTGTCCTATTGCTTTTTGAGAATTTTAACAAAGTTTACAATTTATTTCTTGTCAAAGAGCATCTATATTTATTCTTTTTAACTCCCATGCACTAATGCATGATTTTCCACAAATATACGGTATGAGTTCTCACAGATTTCTCACCAAACTTCTCATTTAATGGGAATGGATGGATCAATAGAAGTCAACCAATGTTTTCTCATGAAACCTTTTCTTGTTTCCAGCTTTTGAGTTTCTATAGATATTACGAATTAAGTTGGTTCGTAAATAATGTTAGTTTCATATTGGACACAAAGTTGAATTATGGACAGTTTTGTTATTATGTTGTTCTTGGTGGCGGTAGTTCATGTCGTTGTTGTAAAAAAATCGCTTTTTTGTTTAACTATTGGGCCAATTTTCAGTGGTTAAAGTATGTATTTGTCGCTAGAAAGCTATAACTTTTATTCATTCCACAAATTTCTGAAGGCTCAATGGAATTCGTTTTTCAGTATGATTTTTTATTTGAGACGCCACCGAAATTAAAAATTGCTCACCTTGTAGCTGCGCTTCGTTAGCGATCGTTGCGTTCTGGCTGTCAGTCAAGTCGATGAGACTACGGTACCGGTACTGTAAAATATTCCATACCCGTACTACTTCGTTTTGTTCAACGTGCCCATATATTTGAGCATCGCTCTCTTGTTTAATTTATGATTAATTGGAAACTACCGTCAGTCATTGCAGTCTGGGTGGCATGGATCTAACTTAACTGATTTGTAGTAATTCTATTTTTATGGAACTTTGTTTTTACGTGCTTTGTTTGCGGCTTTCGCAGGGCGCACACAAATTCGCTACAAGACGCGTACGACCCAAAGCAAATGTTGCAAAGCGGTGGTTGTGAAAAAGAATTTATAGTTCATTTGAGAATGTCGGGTATTACCGTCCAGCATAGGGCGCACGTTCACTAAACTACGTAAGTACTTCTCTTCTATTTGCGTGGCACAACCATTTTTGCATATGTTATTCCTAACCCCCACCTGGATCTGTCATGCAACGCCAGCGATCTCTCGCATATTGGGATCGTTACGACGAGAAAACGAGAGAAATAGCTTGCTCGATTTCGGGTGATCGTCCAGTGACGGAATTTTTGAATGACGTAGTCGGGTGGGGGTTAGAAATAACATATGCAAAAATGGTTGTGCAACGCCAACTAGAAGTACTTACGTCGTGTTGTGAATATGGTCCCAGAATAGTATTACAAGTGTTCGTTCAAAGCAAATAATTGATAGAAAAAGTAAAGTATAACACACTTTCTTCACATTGTTCACAAGTTAGCATATTTCATTAGTGGGACTGCATAACACGCAATATCAACAGCTACATTAACAAAAATTGAAATCGGCTTGTTATGTATTTTATATGATATTTTATTACCATTTACGACAATTCTGAAATAAATAGAGTAAGTGAAATAAAATATTATTTATGTTCATATAAAATGTTATAGAATATCAAATCCATTTTGGAAGGGAAGATACATAATACACACCACGACGTAATTCTTACACTCGGAAATTATCAATTATATGGCAATACTGTATAGGCTTTCATGAAATTTTTACAAAGTTTTCCAGAAAAAACATAAAATTAATCTTAAATTATTGACGAAAATAGCTACAGAAAGTTTATATTCACATGAAAAATTATCACGAATAAATCAACACTGTCCAGATGCATTTTATTTGTTGATCCTCGTGCAAAACATTGTCCAGGAATCTTAATTCTCTTCCGATGTAAAACTGATGAAAGGGAAAAGGGTTGTTTTCCATTCCGGGAAGCAAATCAGAATCATGAGAATGTTGATAAAATATGTAGTTTCCATGGCTAAGTTTTTAATAAACGGTATGCCAAATACAACTGAAATGGAAGCAGCAGTATCACTGACACAACATACTAAAGCAGCAAAGAAAGCTCTTCGTAACATAGGTGTCAAATTGTCAGCTGCTGTGCCAATGTTCTTTTGGTGCTGGCGCAGCGGATGAAGAAAAAGTCCTAGGATCATGACTTGTAAGGCAATGGACGACAAATTGAATACCATCATTGACATCAGATTTGGGTCCCGCGGTCCAGCTACAACGCAACCATACTGTGTAAATTTGGTTGAGAAGTTTAGTACAAAAAGCAATCCACTTGAAGCGGGAAGAACTAAAACTAAGACGAGTACAACTGCACTTATGATGCGAGTAGCATAATTAGTTGCATGTTTCATAGCGGGAATGCTATGAATTATTCGATGTCTAAGCCAAATTGTGAAATAGCTGGAAGTGGCAGCACCCGATTCGGACATGATTCTCAAGGTATAGTACAAATGACAAAATTTCGTGTAGTATATTTCGACTAAAACCCGTCCGAGACAACCAGTCAGGTAGGAAATGTTGCAAATAGCGACAAATATGAGTCGTGATATCTTTATCCATCCTCCAATTTTCTTTCCGATACTTTCGTTTCTGCTGACTCCGACCTCGTTTACGCACATGTCAATTATTAGCATCACCATAATGTAAGTCGTAACTACAAAGTAACCCGTCGAAAACGAAACTGACGCTGCCCAAAGTGCCGAACTACTCACATTCAACACAAGGCTCTCTTCTACGTTTCCAGATATATTAGTTGAAAGATTCATTCTCAAGACCTCGGAATAAAACAGCTATGAGATCAGCTTGAGTAAACTCTTGAATGAATGCTGAATTTTATTCGGTGCCGATAGATCACTATTGCGCATTCAATAAACGTAGTATTAAAATTTATTTCATACATTTTGATCATTGATGTCGTATTGAGGATTGTTTTTAGCTCATACTAATAATGACCTATACAAAAATAATAAGACCTTTCTAAGACAAAAGTAAGAGGACAGGAATGATAGGATCAATATGATCTATTTTTATATTGACTGTAATCAAACTGTCGATGGAAACGAATTCTTATTGGACACAAAATGTACATATGGATCGTTTTGTTTTTAGATTGTTGTGAATCATTATTTTCTTCTTTGAAAAAAATCACTCTTCAATTTTCACTTGTTGAAACTTGTTGTCGCTAGAGGAAGGCTATTACTTTTATTTATTTCAAAAGTATCTGTGAGCTCCATGGAATTCGTTAGAAGCTTTATGTGATAACGTAATCAAAATTGGGAATTTTGTGTCCATATATTTGAGCATTTTATATTTCTTATGAAAATTGCATCACACTGCGGCTGAAGCGATCCCAACATAAGAATTCTTTTTCATCGATAGTTTGATAACAGTATATATAATATTAAATCACAATATTTCCATGTGTTTCTTCTATCTCGGCAAGGACGGTATCTTTGTTTTCTTGGTGAAAGTTATCATTAGTATGCCGTAAAACAAATTACAACACGAAAACCATGATTAAAATGAATGAATTGATTTTAAACACGAAGTACACTTGATATACAATAGGAATCTTTAGTCAAAATATAATATATTATAATCGGGTGCTCCCACCTTTACCTATTTGACGGTTTGGCTTAGACATCGAATAATCCATAGCATTCCAGCCATGCAGCATGCAACTAATGGCGCTACTCAACAATTTTCCCTTTCCTCAGTTTTACATGGGAAGAGAATTAAGTGAAACCTATAAGTTTTCATATGGAGAATGACGAAGTAAAATCTTATCGACAGCGTTGATTTGTTTTTAACAACTTTCATATGGACATAATACTTTCTATCGTCGACTGTTTTATTTTTCGAATATACATGTTTAAATATTTTGGAATCATTGGACCCAAACTCCTTATTGGGGAAACTTAGTATCATTATGGAAACCATGGGACCTATATAGACTTAAAATTAATTGTATGTCAGGCCTGATACGAAATAACCATCGATTAAATAAAAGATATATATTCCTATTAAATTGAAGCGACCATTTCAGCCGAGCAAAATGTATGTTAAAGTCCATGTAAACTCCTTATCCACAACCCGAAACAACAATAACTAACGCAATTTACCCATACAAGTTTTAATTTATTTTTATAATTTCCTGGCCTATGACATTTCACCATGCGATTGCAAGTTTTATATTATCTGTAATTCATTTATGTAAATAAAGTTTTCCTCGGGAAGTACAAAATGATTTTTAAAAATTTTCGACCGTTGAATTGGATGTGTTGGAAAACGTCAATCAATGATTTCTCAACGATTTTATTTTTAAATTACGTTTCACTTGGATATTACATAACACTGCAACTAGGATCGATCCTAATAATAAAATTCGCTTTCATCGATGGACTGATTGCAGTTTATTATATATTGAATTATATTATTTTTTTGTCAACATACTTTTAATTTTGTGCAACAACAAATGTCTTATTACTTTCTTTGTGAAAGTTATCATTAAGATGCGGTAAAAACAACTTCATTACGAAACCCATTATCAATCTGCATGTATTAATTTTCGACGGGAAGAAACGCGGCATACAATAGCAATCTTCAGTCAAAGGTTAATTTTGTATTCGCTGAAAGAAAAGTTGACATAACTGCTGTAATATTACAAGAACTTGAAAATGAATTTTTCAACAAATACCTCTGGAATAGAAGCGGAGTTAGACCGAGCAGTGCAATAGAAGAAGTCGAGATAACAATGAGAAAATGGATCAAAATATCACGTTTTATATTCGTCGCTATTTGCCACTTTTCTTACATGAGTGCTTGGCTTGGACGAATTTTGTTTGATCTTTACAGCCCGTAATTTTGCAATTCACACAAAAAGTGGAAAATCATGCTTGGAGCTGGTGCTGTCACTTTCACCCATTTGATGGTTTGGTTCAGACATCGAATAATTCATAGCATTCCCACCACGCAACATTCAATCAATTGTACTACTCGTTTCTTGAATATAATTGTGTTAGTCTTAGCTGTAGTTGCTCCTCCTTTAAATAGATTGATCGTCGTTCTCACTTCTTCAGCCAAAGTTACTCAAACAGGAAGCGATATAGTCGAAATGAGTGTTTCAATTTTTATAACTGGTTTGACGTCCATTGCAATGCAAGTTATAATACGGGGACTTTTCCTTCATCCGCTACTTCACCATCAAAAGAACATTGGTAGAGCAGCAGACATTTTGACACCTTTGCTTAAAAGAGCCTTTTTCACCACTCTGGTATGTTGTGTCAGCATGTTGCTGCTTCCGTGTTAATTGTCGTTGCCGGATTGTTTATCGCAGACATATCCATGGAAACGACACTTTTCATCAACATTTGGATGATTCTGATCAGCTTTCCGGAGTGGAAAACAACTCTTTTCCCTTTCATCAGTTTTACATCGGAAGTGAATTAGGTGGAAATTACACCCTTCTACACTACACGAAAATGAACACGCATGAAATTAATTTCGTTTTTTTTTTATATGAACACAAATTAATTTCAATTGTTGACTGTTGTAGTTGTGTTGACGTTTTTTTCAAATATACACTTTTCAAATATTTTAGAATTATGAAACACTAAAATTTTAGTATATATCATTGAATTGCCCAGCATGGATTTTCAGCTGAAATTATACAAACGATGGGGCCTATATAGTCATAAAACTGATTGGTTTTCATGCTCTAGAACGAGATAACTTTCAATTAAATGAAAAATATATTCCCCAACTACGTTGTTTCTGCAAAGTGGAACAATCAAGCTGTTTCCATGAAATTTAATCTGAGAGATTTGTAATAGGCTATGTCAAGACTGCCTAACTCGCGGCCCGCCTGACTGTTTTTTTGCGGCCAGCCCTATAAAGTTTGTAAGCAGACTTTTTCAATTTTTACTATGTTATATAGGCTTATTTATGTTTCGTGATTTTGGTGTGATTATTCCGCCATCCATCTACATCCAAATGCCTGTTACTATTATTACGTATGTATCAAGTCTTGCGCCCTGGTGAACATCGACGTTAACTTTTTTTTCGCAGAACTGTGCGTTCTGTTCGACGAAGTTCAATGATATGATGCGATCATCAGCGACGAACGCTGAGCGCAATTAAAGGAATGAATTTGTAACCCAAATTTCAAAATTAATTTCATTCTGATTGCTTTTTTTGTGTCGACTTTGATCGTCTTTACCGCCAACGTAAAATAAAAAGTCAACAATATCTTTTATACTGACTCCGCGACTCGTTGTCATTTTATCTTTGTATTTTTGTTTATGTTATGTTTGCGCTAAATAAAATGTCTGAAATGTGGTCACTGCGTATCCGTCAATAATTCTGATGAAATTAACTTAATTTCTACATATTCAGATTAATATATATATTCATCCAGAAATCTTTGTAATGTAACTTCATTAAATACTTGTATTGACGTTTCAAATTTTACGAAACGGTTCAATAATACTTGATATTCCCGCGACATTGGCGCACATTACACTCATTTAAACATTGTCACAATATCATAGCCACTGAAAATAAATAAATAAAAAAACACCATAACGCAAATATAACACTTCAGTTTTGACTTTTCTGTTTGTTGGTGAAAACTGTGTGCAGGTTCTCGTGTGGTTGTCAGAAACCCACATGTGCGTTGTGTAATGATTGATTCAGCTATTAGCGAGGCTAGTAGCGATGTCTCCGCCCTCGTTACCAGATATTCGAATAGTGGGCTGATATTTTAATATTCTTGATATTTGAATAAGTTTCCAGCTCTACGCAGTAAACAGTAAATAATTATTACCTTGATTGATTTTATGCTAACAAAATTTGCCTTCCATGTATTATGTAAATTTAAACGAAATCAGTACTTGGCTGGTATTAAAGTTTGGTACAATCTTTAAAAATTTCGGCCGCTGGCTTGAATGCGTGGGAAATAGTTTGGGATTGTCCTTTTAGTGACATCTCGTACGCTTCAGAAGAGTCATGAGTTGTTGAATATTGTTCATATATTTGAGCATTGCTTGTTTAAAAAAAGTACGACAAAATTTTGAAAATGAAAACATGCACGTATTTGAATACGGATTGGTAATTTGCATATACTGAAACAAGAGGGAAGCATAAGAAGTAAAGAGCCTCAGAGAGAGCTGAATTACACATTCCCAACATGTCGTGAGATCTGAATAACAACTATAGGGACACTCACACAATAAAGTTCTTCTGTTCCATATGTAGTTGCGCCAAGCTACGCGTCTGATTTTCCAATAAATAATTTTTTTTGTCAAATGATTCGGGAAGTATTGATGATTATCCATCTACAATTTGGCACAATAAATGTTTCCCCGAGCATCGACTGCCTTGTTTACTTCGTGACATTGTCCAATCAGCAAGATGCAAAAAGTGACGTAACAATGCCCCTTTCCGCATCCGCTCAGACACTTTTTTCACTCAGACAGATTTTCGTGCGTGTTCGTAAACATTACCTCGTTTTCGAGTTTTTGAAGTGTATTCGTTAGTTTTCAGTTGTGTTTCGGAAATTTAAATATAAATCGAATAATTCAATGAATATTTTGTCTTTCTAGGGGTTTCAATTTAATTCAGTAATCAAAAATTGGTGTAGAAATAGCTGTGATAGACAAGGCAAAATTTAAATTTTTTTCATTTTATTTTATATCGGTACTTTTAAAAACAGATAGTTGAATGCTATGAATCAGAATGGAATTATGGTTTAAAACAAATACCCCGTTTACAGGCGCTAACTCGCAAAATTACTCCTAAAATAAGCACCGAAAATTTCGCAATGGTAAAGTAATAGAATAATTTTCCGGGGGTCAAAGGTCGGGGAAAGGTCCGAAGTTATATATAGATAAGTTCTCAAGCACATTATAGAAATTAAAAGGAGTAAAAAATAGAATCTTAATCAACATTCTTGATTTGTGTTTCACCTTTATCTCAGTATGCATATCTTAGTTCTCTTCAGATGACAAACTGTTGCAAGGAAAGATCGTCGTTTTCCACTCCGGAAAGCTAACCAGAATCATTAATAAGTTGATGAAGAACGTAGTGTGCATACTTGCATTTGTTGCAAAATTCCCGGCAACGATAACTACAAAGGCAGCAGCAGTATCGCTTAAACAGCATACCAAGGTCGTGTAAAACGCCCTTTTTAACACTGGCGTTAAATTATCAGCGTCTCCACCAATACCTCTTTGATGACGTCGCAGAGGATAAATGAATAATCCCAGTATCATGACCTGCGTTACTACAGATGAAGCGTTGAAGATCAGAAATGGAACTTGAATTGGTATCTTTGATTCCACCATTTGGCATCCAGTTTCAGTATCTTTGTATTCAAAATTAAGAAGGATGACCAACACATTACCAATCCGAGTAGCCGCAACTAAGACGATCACCAATATGCTCACAATGCGTGTTATAGAATTGGTTAAATGTTTGATTGCGGGAATGCTATAGATTATTCTATGTCTGAGCCACACAGTAAAATAGCAGGTAAAAAGCAGACAACCAGATAGGATGATTTTTACAATCATATAGATCTGACAGTATTCCGGATAGTAAAGATCGACTATGATATGCAGCACCGAACCAGTCAAGAACGTCAGGTTGCAAAGGATGGCAAAAATTAATCGCGATAATTTTATCCATGCTTTAAATTTTTTCCCGATACTTTCGTTCCTGTTAATACCGACTCCATTCACGAAAATATCAATGATCAGCATTATCATAATATAGGTAGTAGCTGCAACATATCCCAAGGAAATTGACCATAACCAAATGGCCAAAGAGTCGCCATTCAGCAGCAGGTTTTCCAGTCTTAGTCCTGAGTTGTTTGTTGAAAAATTCATCTCCTTGATGATTGACGAATATGTCTATCTATACCTTACCCTTCTATAACTAAAGTATATTAAGCATAACCCAGTTTATAATCGTAATCACACGGTTTCTGCCCTTCGCGTTGGAGATCAATTCATTCAATTTACTCATTGATTATACATTAAAGATTATTTATTTATATTAATAATACCTTTTTAAAATCTATTGAAAATGTTAACGTACAATTACAATGTTACTTAAATAAATCAACCAAATCAACACATCATAATACTCCTGCGAAAAATAGGAGATATGGCTCAACAACCCACCTAATTTACTAACACTATTGAGCATTCAATAAACGTAGTATTAAAATTCAATTCATGCATTTTGATCATTGATGTCGTATTGAAGATTGTTTTTTAGCGCATACTAATAACGCCCTATACAAAAATATTGACACCTTTCTTACCAAGACAAAAGTAAGAGGATAGGCCAAATAGTAATAATATGACCTATTGTTACATTGACTGTAATCAAACTGTCGATGGAAACAAATTCTTATTGAACACGAAGTGTACATATAGATCAGGGGTATGCAAATTACGGTTCGCGGGCCAGATCCGGCCCATCGAAGTGTTTCATCCGGCCCCCTTGTGTCAGATGAAATTACAACTACAGTTTTTATGGATAAAAATTTCCATTGAAAATATTGACAAAAATAATGTCATATTGACCACGATTGTTACAGTGTGCTTCTTCACCTTAGATCAGGGATTCTCAACCTTTTTTCTGTTAATTACCCTCCGAGTCACGAAACAATCAACGCGAACCCCCAATAATCAGACACCAAACAAAGTTGTGATATGTTGACTGACAATTTGCTGCATCGACAATTTATAGACAAACTGCTGTAACTAAATTGAATATTCGTGTTGATGTTATTGCCCTTGTTCTCCATCCAACTAATGAATTCTTGAAATCTCTCTCAAGTTTCGATGAGCATATCACTTTCTTTCTCCAAATGCATTTCACATTGTTGCTTCACAATCATAACAACGCTAGATCAGTGAATATTTACGCTGAGTTCCAATTGACATTCATTTTCATGTGGTAGTTACTCAGTTTTTCTTTATTAAAGGATATTGAAAAAAAAAAAAAAACTCGACTGCCATTCAAGTACCCCTGGAAATCTTCTCCTGAACCTATAAGGGGTTCGCGAACTACGGGTTGAGAACCCCTGTCTTAGATGAACATTAGCCTAGCTGATGTAAATGGACTGTTTTTTATTTGTAGTTTTTCATATTAAGTTTTGAGCCTCCGGCCGATTAACCAAGTTTATTATTTGTAACTGGCCCGCTCAGAAAAATAAATGCACACTCCTGATACAGATTGTTTCTTGTTAGGCTGTTGTTGTGAGTCATTATTTTTTGTTCAGTAAAAAAATCACTTTGCTCATTAACTACTGGACCAATTGCTCCGAAGTTTTTTCAGTTGTTAAAAATTGCTGTTGGTGTCGATGGAAAGCTATTACTTTTATTTATTTCAAATATGTCTGTGGGCTCTATGGAATTCGTAAGAAGTTTCATGTGATGACGTCATCAAAATTGAAAATTGCGTGTCCATATATTTGAGCATTTCACATTTCTTATGAAAATTGCATCACACTGCGACTTGAAGCGATCCCAATATGAGAATTCATTTTCATCGATAGCTTGATAACAGTATAAATAATATTAATTAAATCATAATATTTTATTGTTTCTTTCGTCTCGGCATGGACTGTATCTTTATTTCCTTTGTAAAAGCTATCATTAGTATGCCGTAAAACAAATTGCAATACGAAAACCATGATTAAAATGCATGAATTGATTTTAAACGCGATGTACATTTGATATACAATAGGAATTCTTAGTAAAAATAATTTATTTAGTATTCGCTCAACGGAAGGTAGACATAACTGCAATTATATTTTAAAGAGCTGAAAATGAAGTTTTCAACAAATACCTCTGGAACAGAAGTTGAAGGGTTGGTGTTGAAAGGAGTCAGTTTGGGAATTTGGCTTTCATCAGTTTGCAGTTCGCTGGGATTTTTTGTGGCTACAAGTTACGTCATGGTAATGCTTATAATTGATATGTGCATAAACAAAGTTGGACCGAGCAGCGCAAACGAAAGTGTCGGGAAAAAAATGGGAAAATGGATTAAAATTTCGCGATTAGTACTGGTCGCTGTTTGCAACATTTTTTACCTGACTGGTTGGCTAGGACACGTTTTGGTCGATCTTTACATACCGGAATTTTGCCATGCCTACGTCATTTGGAAAATAATGATCGAATCGGGTGCTCCCACCTTCACCTATTTGACGGTTTGGCTTAGACATAGAATAATTCATAGCATTCCCGCCATGCAACATGCAACTAATGGCGCTATTCGCATCTTGAGTATAATTGTATTAGTCTTAGTTATAGTTGTTCCCTCTTTAAATAGATTGCTTATCGTTCTCAACTGCACAACCGGAGTTACGCATATCGGATGCGATATAGTTGAATTGAGTATCCCAATTCAGATTCCATTGATGTTATTTGCCGTGTCCTCCATTGTAATGCAAGTTATGATTCTGGGACTTTTTCTTCATCCGCTACGCCTGCATCAGAGAAACATTGGTAGAGCTGCTAACAATTTGACTCCTATGCTACAACGAGCCTTTTTAACCACTCTGGTGTGTTGTGTCAGCGATACCGCTGCTACCATCATAGTTGTTTTTGGCGGAACGTATGTTGCAGAAATTGCCATGGAAACTACATTTTTCATCAATATTTTGATGATTTTGATTGGCTTTCCGGAATGGAAAACAACACTTTTTCCTTTCATCAGTTTTACATCGGAAGAGAATTAAGTGAAAACTACACGTTTTCATATGGATAATGACGAAGTACGAGGCCCCTCGACAGCGTTGAGTTTGTTTTTAATAACTTTCATATGGACATAATACTTTCTATTGTTGAGTATTTTATTTTTCAAATATACATTTTTGAATCATTGGACCAACTATGTGGGAAAACTTAAAGTATCGTTATATATCCCAGCATGATTTTGCTCCCATCATCTGTAATTGTTATGCAAACGAGTCTGTATGGACATATAACAGATTCAAATTGTTTTTCATGCCCTAGGTCCTAGGACAGGGGTGGGCAACCTTTTTCGGCTCGCGTGTCAAAATCGACTATATTTAAGGACAAAATTCTTCCGCGTGCCGACCAAAATTAAAAACAATGGTTTGATACTTTCAAAGCAAAAGTACACAAAAATAAACCTTTTAATTAAACATGTTCAGACAGATTCACTATTCGGGAAAATATCAGTTTGATTACTTTTCTTATTCCATATTAGCGAGGCTTCTGCTGCTGCATTACCGCTGATAGAGACTTTATAATGGGTTTATATTTTGTAACTTTCAAAGAAATACACGAACTACTGGTTTCACCGTTCGGGCTACTCCCTTTACGAGACTTAATGAGGTACATACCTGAAAACACAGATTTACAAGCATATGTAGATGAAAACATGGAATGTAATCCAGTCGCATTGTTTTTAAGATACGTAAAATTTTCGGAAATGGCATCCCAATCACGCAAATAGTTCGTTTTCTGCACTTCTCTCTTGTATTCTCTTCCTAATCGCTTATATTTCACTTGAAATCAGTTTATAACAGTAATTTGGCAAGTAACTCTAACCAAGATAAGCTGTACAACTTCATAAATCAAGCAGAAATGAGGAAAAATGGTGGCCCAGATAAACTATATTACGTAAAAATGTAATCAAATGCTGCGCTCTTCTCGACAAGATTTCTCGGGAGCTCACTCATTTGTTACATCATAATGTATTTCTTTGTATCTATATGTCATGGAAGGACAAACAGCGTTTAAATAAATAAGAGAATAAATGAACATGTAGTTTTATAAGATAATCCAGTCTTGAAACTTTTTTTCTGAATAAGAATGATCTCGTTTCCGAGGATTCGCTCGCGTGCCGAATAAATGGGCTCGCGTGCCAAGTTTGGCACGCGTGCCAGGGGTTGCCCACCCCTGCCCTAGGACGATATTGGCCATGGTTGCCAGATTTGCTTTTTTAAAGCCAAATTTAGCAAATCTGGCTTTGTTCAAACACGTTTGGCGTCAGATTTCCAGTTTAGCTTTTTTATGTCCATGCCGGTTTCATTTTTTAAAAATCATATGAATTAAAATATTCAGTGTACAACTGTACAAGAATAGTCTATTGCTTAGTTACTTCATATTTGGATGTTTCCACGAGTATCAATTTCCTTTTTGGACACGTTTTGGACATAACGATCGTTTTGCATTTTATGTTGGCACTCTTCCTATTGTTATTATTCTTCGTCACCATCATTATAAAATCGCTTTCTCTTCGAATACTGGACCAATTGCTTTTAAATTTTCAGTGGTTAAAGTTTGATTTTTACTCCAGAGGGCTATTACTTTTATTTATTTCGAATATTTCTATTAGCTCTGTGAGATTTGTTTTTGTTTGCTATGACGTCACCGAACGTTCTGCGGACGTATGATCACGTGCCATCGAACGTCGGCGTGAAGGCGGATTCTGAAAATCGTTGCTCAAAAATTGTAAGTTTTTTTTAGGTTACCGGTGATGCTAAAGGTACGGTAAACCGTAATGCACTGCTTCGCGTGAATATATTTGTAAACTGTGGTATCTGATGTTATAATACCGTGATAAATCGAATTGGTTGGTTTTGCAAAGAAGAAGCGTCTGGCAGATAGATACGGTACTGCGGTAAGTTAACGTATCACAGTAAAATTGACTTATTCCTTTCGCGATCTTACTATTGCAGTAATGTAGGTTTTCTTGCAAATTTAGCCTACCGTATTTGTTAATTTTGATAAAAGCAAATTGAATTGAGTTTTTATAGGCCAAAGAAGAACCGTTCCACGATCGAATAGCAGGCCTACATACAGCAACAGGTACTGCAGTACTGGTAAGGTAACGTACGGTACCGCAGTGAATTACGCTCTC